TTGTAGCAGCGTCCATGTTGATTCCAAATTCTGACTTAAGAGCACATGAACACACACTGAAGTCGGAAGAATGACTTCACAACTCGGGAAATGGGACCATCCAAAGAGCATGTGAATGCACCGTGAGCCACTGGTTGCAATTCGCAACGCTCACCACTAGATGCCACTAAAACTTACACACTGAACCTTTAAAACATTCAAAATATGAACTAACAGGTGTTAGAAGTGACTGAAAAAGTATCTGTTCTGTCATGTCACAGTGTATTGTGTTGCAGAGATATCTACTGAAGTTAGCTAACCAGCTACCCCGACCTGTCCTGTCTCATAATACACTTTGTACCTCAAGAAGTGATTGTCCGTTAGTATAGCTCAGGCCTCTCCCCTGCAGTTTCAGCTGGGAGATGAAACACAAGACAAAATGTCAAGAAATGAAATATTCTTACAGCTATTTTCTTTTTCTTTCACCAAACTAATCATCACTGCCATGTTAATTCATTATAAAAAGAATCAATAAAAATAAATTTATATTCCTCTAGGTCTTCATCATATTTATTGTAATCTGTTGTTTTTGTGTAAAAGGGTGGACCAGATAATTGGGCGAGGAGCCGTCCAGCCTGATAAGAAGGCGCGCCCTGAAAAGGGAGAGAAGACGCCGCCAGAACTGGACCCACTGGATGAGCTAAGCATGATGGGTCGTGTAGTCAAAGTGGAGAAACAGGTAACAGAGGAAGAGTTTGATTTATATAGCACATGCGTAACTGTTCTCAGTTTAGACAACAAAACCTCAATAGATTGCTTTCATTACTCTGATTGATCTAAAAAAAAAAAAAGCTGCCATTAACTCAGTGGGTTGTCTTTCTTTACTATAGCTCCAAAGAGGATTTGACAGCTAATGACTAAGAATGCTAAGAAATGATGGGGTTTCAAGGTTAATTGATACCCATTTAGTTTAGAGCATGGAAAGAAACCTCCATGAACACGTTTCATCTCATTAGAAAGATAGATGAAAAGAGTGCCAAAGGAGTTTGACACATTCCAGTCAATGTATTTGTTTGTTCAGGTACAGTCTATAGAGAACAAGCTGGACCTTCTGCTCAACTTCTACTCCCAGTGCCTAAAGAAAGGCTCCTCCCACTTCACCCTGTCCTCCCTCCTGGACCCGGACCTGACATCTGACTACCACAGCCCCACGGACCAAAGAGACCTCTTCCCCTCCGCCAACACGCTCAACATCTCCCAGTCTGACAGCGGCAACCTGGAATGACAGTGAGCTGAGCAGTCTTGGGGCTGTTCGAACACAGACACAAACCTTTTACAGTACGTCTTCCTACAGCCAAGTCCTCACTTGAAGTCGCCCAACCTCAATGTCTCTCTCTTCACTTCATTTCATATCTGTCTGGGATAATTTTTTTACCCCTCCATCTGTAATCTGCACCCTCACCTCTTTGTTCCTCTTTTTTCAAGCGATTGTGTTTCCAGAGCTCATACAGACAGAGGCCACCAGATGGCTCCACCTGACAAGGAGCCTCAGCCAAAGCTGCTCACCGCACACGCCTCTCAACCCACTAGATGCGGATGGAGATGAAGCGAGGACACTTGAACAACTATGACTTGACTACTGAACCACTTTCACCCGCTCACCTCATGCTATCTTTGCCTACGTTACAGCTCCAACTGTGGATAATCTTGTGACTTTAAGCATTGAATTTTTCTAAATCTTTGGAAGAATCTTTTCTTTTTTACCCCATCATCATCTTCTTTTATTTCTTGGCTGCTTGAATCAACTGACTGAGACTTTGATGATTCAGTTGAGACAGTGCTGCAAGTGCCATGTCATCTGTTCCTTAGTGTAGCATTACAGTTCTTGATACTGTGATGAATGTAGTGAGTCCCACCTGCAAATTATTTTGCAGTCACACCACCAGACATAACAAACACGCACTAAAAGAGCAGAAATAATTTGCTCACTCGCACCTGGACTGGCAGACTGGGCTGACAGCCACCTCGCCAAAGCACCAAACCTTCACAGTGAATCACAGACTTGTCATATGAAATGGAAGAATGTGTTGGAGTGACTGATGTGTACTTTACATTGTTGTTTGTCTCCATTCCCTCCCTAAGAAGTTATGTCTCCAACAAGCCCATTTGCAAAAAACAACAACAAATACCCTAGACAGTATTCCCTGTTTGGCTGGCATTCAAGTGAGGAGTGTTCCTAATTATTTAGGATTTATTGGAGCCAACATGTCCTTTCACAGGTCCAAACTCCCTTTTTTTGCAGTGTTTCAAAGGCTAATGTAGCTCCTTCAGTATTTTGGTAACCTATCTTTGTGTTCTTAACATGCCCTTTTAACCGCTCTGTCTTGCAGCCCGCCCCTCCTGACATGCATGTTCCTCAGACCAGTCCCGCAGATAAACCTCACTGATCCTCAGTCAGAATTAAGACAGTTATGTCACATTTACTGCCCGGCTCCTCATCCACTCACAGGTCAGGTTTACCATGTCAGGAAGTCAGTAATACTACTACCTTCCTTACAGGAGGATAATTCTCACTGTTACACTCATCAGATGCTATGTGCTCCTGCAGTCAGCAGCTGTGGGGTATAAGACTTTTTGGCCAGTTTTAAACAATGAACAACTTGTAAGGCGTCCGGGTCTAACGCATGAATTCCAGGCCATTATCCTCATGAATGCACGTGTCTTAGGAAATGGTTCCAGCCTTACAGCTTCACTACAAACAGACTATTATTGCCAGTCCTCTTTACTCTCTGCTGTCTTTTCTGGTTCTTTCTTAGAGGTGTTTGACGCACAGTGAATGCTCTGTGCTCGGGAACAAAACTGGAGAGTGCACAAATGCACACACATACAAGCACACACGCACAGACACACAGTGAAAGCAATTCCTTTACTTAAATACTTTGGCACTTGTTAAGTATAACACGTTTTTGACTGTACAATTTTGTCTTTTTTTTTTGATTTCTTTACTGTACTTATTGTTCATGCACTTGATTTTGTGTAACCTATAATGGCAAATTTATGATTTTGGTAGTTAAAGTGAATGTAGGATTTAAGTTAACATATTTTATGTAGTTAGATAAGATCTTTAAATAAATGGAGCATTTCTAAATCATGGATGACACAACCGTAACTTCACACAGCTGATCAGGTTCACACTCGCGACTCGCAGAGCTCATATGTATATATTTTTAAAAATGTCATCAGATAATTGCTGCCAGCTTCAACTAACACAACATTCACCATACTGTATTTGGCCAGTGAAAACAGTTCTCTCCCTTCAAGTGATTCATTTATTTGGTCCAGTCAAGCCAGTTGACTCAGGTGCTCCACTTTTCCATTCAAGCCAAGCACAGACTTCACAGTGAAGGTACTTCATTGCTCGGTCTATTTAGATCTATTTATAATCTGATGCTCTTGTTGCCACGACGAATTCATTGGCACTCCAGAGCTCGCTGTTCATCATACTTTCATAGAGAAATGGTAGGTAGCTTTATTCTTTTGCCTAAATTATAGCAGATATACCAATATATTAGTCTGTCCCTTCATCGTCACCTGGAATATTGAGCTTCATGAAGACGTATGCGAGACCACTGTATTGCATGTTGTTGTCGTTAGTGGTGGCCCCAGTGTTAGATGAAAAAAAACTTAATGATGTCTCCTGTATAGTTTTGAGTCAAGAAATGAAAGGAAATGACCTGTGCCTTCTATGTCCTCGTTCTGTAACTGATATGGTACGGCTTTCTGTCTAAAACTTAAATATTAATGCTGCTTTGAAGAGAACAGTGTTTCATAGGGGTGTCATATGAGGATAACCATGCTCTTTTCTTTATTTCTTTCTTGCTTTTTGCCAAACATTGATCCAACTAAAGTATCACCATCAAAATTCTCTACGTGTAATTTTAGGGTTTAGGGTGCTGCAAACCTTTTGATATTTTCTGAGAATATTACTGTACATTTAGCATATCACTGTAACTACTGGGACCTCCTCCCATCGACACCCTCACTGTATTTTAACACCAGTCAGATCTGGAGGCTGGAGGCATGGACATTTGTACCATCACAGGAAACTCTGCAGGCATGTGTCGTTTCATAAGCATGTCACATAGAGAAATATGGCTTCCACACAACTACCTCTGAGGCCACTAGGGGGCGCTAGTCTAGAAACCCAATATGAGAAACAGTAACTGATTGTCTAACTGACTGAATGCTATGCATGACTCAATCTGCACGTTCTTTTTTCTCTTTTTCACCATGTTCTTCTTCATAGTGCCCTACCATCCATTAATTCACTGACTTGCTGCCATTTTACATTCCAGCTCGTTGCCCTTTAACTGCTCTTGTAGGTATTGGAACTGTTGATAGCTGTTAACATGAAACTGATCAAAGCAATAAACAAAATGCTAAGCCAACAAAGTCTTCCAATTCCAATTGATGTAGCTACTGGTTGATGAAATATGGCGCATATTTTATTTTATAATCTAATGCACAACTCTTAGATCTTTTAAAGAGATACAAAATGTGTATCTGCTGAGGATAACATTAGCTCAATTGACTAACTTATTAATTTATTTGTTCAATAAAGCTCTTTGGACTGTACGTTGATTTTGGTCTCTCTTTTTTGTCCAAACGATTTCAATCAATAAACTTTGACTTTTGCAGAATGATAGGCTTTTATTGCAAGAGTTGAAATCACGTGGCAAAATTCTAAATGTTTTTTAAATAATATTTGAACATACCCAAGGAATTAATGTTTGTAAAATAATAAAGAGTTAATATGCAAATTATTATTTAGGTAAGTTTAAAAGTGAAACATGGACCAAAATCATGATCTTATGTTCAACTGGTTCATTGCATTGTTGAGTTTACTAACATTTAGCCAAAGCAGAATATTAACTATTTACATTACTAGTAGACTATGAGAAATCCAACAAGAGGCTTCTCCCATGAAGGCAAACAAAGTCATTTAAGGCCGTTTAAAAACATTTTTATTGACATACTTTAATAGAACAAAAATAATAATTCCTTCTCCTTTAATTTATTGGGTACACAGCAAGTGTTTTCTGGTGTGCTCTTCATGTGAATGATTTTAATCAAATTGACTGACTGCAGAGTGAACGTGTTTGCACATAGACATGTCCACCAGGACCATTTCCACTTCTTCACTATCACAGCGTAAAGTTTCCCACACCATAGCAGTGGCAGAACAAAGTCACGTGCCGTTTGAAGGGGTCGACAATTAAGTAGGCAAACGTCTGCTCCTCCTCTCGTCGTCCGGGGTAACATTGCCCAGACTCATCCTACAGAGGACATAATAATACAATGTGTGTAAATTATAAGGAAAATTCAAGCAAGCATCTCGTCTGTGTGAAGAAAAACTGCATCTGTTCCACTGTTAATAACATCCTGCTTGGCAGTGTATTGGCTGCAGAGTCGGTGATGTTGCAATCTCTTCAAAGAGAGCATCTTCAAAGCAGTAAGATGTGATGATTATTAATAGTGTGGTGGCACCACACTATTAAAAGTCTTACATGTTAAATAAAGTAACGCTGTTTGTGAACTGTATTAATATGAGCACAAATTTACTTCATAAATGTTTCCATTAATTGCGTTTATCAGGTATCTTTCAGTGGCTTTGAATCATCAGCCAATTAGAAGTGACAATTTATGTATTTTTCTCTAATACCATCCACATACTGGTGTGCATGCAAACATATGTGGCACAAAGAGACATTCAATTGGTCACTTACATAGACACACACTTTGAGGACTGTGGAGACAACACTGATCTTCTTGGTCTCTGGATCCTTCTGAACACTATATAGTAAAAGGCAGAATTACAATGTCATTATTAGATCATGACGTATCTGATAACGGAGATGTGGGAAAGCCTGATCAATAACTGACCTGATCAGGTCTTTGTAGATGTGCTTTGTGGCGCTAATGTAAGGATCAATGGTGTCTTCGTACTGACAGAGCTCTCCTCCGAAACACAGATGCTTGAAGAGGCGAAACAGAAACTCTCTTCGCTCCTCTTTCCCAACCACGTAGTAGTGCTCAGAGTCCTCTTCCTGCAACATCTGGAGGAACAGAGGAATGTAGACTTGGAACTCCATGTTAAAAAAAAGATAGATGAAGACAGACATGTAGGTGAGAAAAGAGAGAGTGACCTGTCTGAGTTCATCATAGTCGGGGTGGACATCATGAAAGCATTTAACTATATGTCCAGAGGGACTCAGGATCCCACAAGAGTAGATTGGGTCAAACAACTCCATGGAGACCTTAGTGCACGGCACCGGCTCCACATCAACTGACACCACTGGCTTGTCTGCAACAAAAACACATACAGAAGTCAAAAAGAGACTTGAGTGCAAATATTATCCAGCAGATGAGATCAGTTTCCTTCTATCACTGATGAAAGGCTTTCTGGGAGACATGACATACCAAGAGGCACACAGGCCCCAGGCTTCATCTTTCTGGACAAGCTGGATGCCACATAAGGATCTCTGAAGAAACACTACAGAGTGAAATCAAGAGCATTCAAATATGGTTGAACACATGAAGACACTGTTCTAAAACAGACAGCCAGTATTTACCAGTAATTACAACCACAATGGGATTAAGAATTACTGAGTATCACTTTCAGTTTTCCAGTCTGCCCTTTCAGGCTACGTGGTTGTGGTTTTACTGTAATTTCAGACTGAATTGTAATACTTTACCAGTGCAAACTTGTCACTGTTGTATGGGTAAAAGCTCTGGTCAAAGCTGTAAGACTGAGCTGAAATCCTCCCCAGCATGGACCTACAATTAATACACACATCCATTCACGTTAACTGTTCTGCTAATAGCTAACGGGCTCGACTTGAACAAATGGTAAATTTGTAAAAGGCTTTGCCTTAACTAAATTTCTTAGTTTACCATTTCATTAATAGTGCTAAAGTGTCTTTGTCCTGTAGGAAGGAGACCTTCTTGGAAGAAAGAGGACTAAAAGAAAAAGTTTGCTCAAACTCGCATTTCTCTCCTGCCATGGTCACTCCTTCTTTTGTTGCAGATTCCCCACAAAAACAGTGGAGACTCACTCGTGTTCACAACAGAGTAGCAGGTTTGTAGGAGTTTACAGGCCAATCAGCGGCAGGTGTGCTCTCTGACAGCCAATGAGCGTCTGTTCTAGTCGGTTTGTTCCGGTTACACGGAAAGAAGACGGTGTGGTTCATCTCGCTTTTCCCTCTAGCTAAGAAGACTCGTTTACTCGTTGCCTAGACAACGGACGCTGGTAAGGTCCCTGCTCGTTTCTATGATTGACCTTTTCTCCCCTTAAATGCTAGCGTTCATATGTCGACTTTATTTGGCTTTTATTTTAATATTGCTTACTTGGTGTCGTCTTGTGGTCCTCAGAAGTTCCTTGTTTTAACTCACCGTAAATTTATCGACTTACGTCCATCTAGCAGGGTGAATTCAGGACAGGACAGGCGACATGTCTTCACAGCCACCAGAGAGCAACCTTGTCCTGCTTTAAAAACACACTCCTTGTGCTGGATGGAGGCTGTACTCCTTGTTTTTGTTGTGTCTTATCCATAGACTGTATATAAAAAGGTCTTATCTTTCCACCTCAGTGTCCCTCCATCACTATCTCAGTGACGATCCTGTTATACGCTCTTGGGCTCCTTTTGAACAGGTAGCGTAAATAGTTAGATACTCTATCTAATCTCCATGTCTAAGACAATTCGCTGCCCTGCTAAAGAAATCACATTTGAGCAGTTCGTTCTTTGGCCTTGGAATTTGGAAACAGCAGTTGACAAAACAACCTTAAGCTCAAGGTTTATTTACGTGCTTTTTCTGGATGATAAATACCACGTGACACAGTCAAGAGCACCAACATGGGTGAAAAGAAGTCCTATAGTAGAAAAGTTTCATCACAACTGATCAAACCTAATCTGCTGTGAAACAGTCAAAAGCATTAAAGACCAAGCAGATCCTAAATGAACATGTAGGCTATAATCCTGCTTTATTCACTGCTAATTTCTGATATTCCTCTTTTTATCTTACTTCAAACTATGCAAATCCCTAACAAAACTCAGTAGGCTAGGCTGCATAAAAATCGTCTGTCAGTATAGGCCTGATGTGTCCTTAAAGCCCTGAGGTGAAGCACAGATGTCTCTCTAGATGTTTTGACTAGCCCCCTGCTTTATGTTTGCAATCCAAAGACTAGATGTTCTCTTGTAAATATTTTTCAATTTGGCAGGAACACCTGCGCATCTGGAACAAAAAGGGCAGGGTCCCTTTTTTCCCATCAACCGTACATTTAGAGATATTGCTTTTTCTGAAATCACATCCAGCACTGTGTCTCCTGGAGCTTCTCTCCAGTTAAAGTGCTTCTGTGCTTGTACACGTTTACTCTTGTACAACAGAAGGATTTTTTTCATCAACTAGTCCATCCTACAGATCCCTAAAAAAAGTTTGTCATCCTGGCTCAAATACTCATTTCATTCCCTTCATTCCAGGATGTGAGATCCTTTTGATCCACATTCCAGTGTAGGACGTCCAGACCCCTGATATTCCCAAAGCCAAGAATATCCGGCTCGGGGACAACATGAAGTCATGATAATGTAACCATGTTTTATTGTCTCTGTTATATCTATATATATATATATATATATATATTGCCTTCATTATAGCCATTACATTCATTACAAAATCGAATGTGTAATTGTTTTATATCTGACCTTATTTTAATAAACCCGTAATTATGATTTAAAAAAAATAATCTCCTCAGCTGGTGAGATGAGTGATGAGATGCTGAAGAAAGACACTGGATGAGAGAGGTTATGTGATTATATAAAATTCACTTGTTAAAAGCATCAATTATGCTGTTTCTTGACATTTAAATTGGTTTTAGGTTTTAGGTTGCAGATTTTAAAATCTAGGCCTACTGTCTCTCTCTGCCTGACACTATTATCATGAAATGTATTATGATGTAAGAATGATAACCATTGTGTAAACCCATTAGCCATGTGTGTTGTGGGGCCAGCCCGGCTGACGGTGAGTGTCCTGGTTTTCTCTTGTTTTTGTTCTCCCACTGTTTTGTTCTCCTGTATTCTGCCTGCCTCCCTGTGTCTCCTCCCCTGCGTGTTCTCCTCCTCTCTCTCCCTCCGCTCCTGAGCCCAGCCAACGACCCGCACCTACACCTCGTCATCCTGCCACACCTGCCAGTAATCAACCTCATCCCTGCCTGTATATCAACCCCGGTTCTCCACACCATCTTCGCTTGATCGTCGTTGATCCCAACCCGGTGCCAACCTCTCAAGCTCTGGTTAAACCTCAGACGTTATCTCTGTTTTCCAGCCCCCGGTTATTCCCTGTGTTAACTCTGTCTCTCTCTGCTTTCCCTCCCGGGTTCACTCACCCTCGTCCTCCGTCCTGTCGGCTGGGCTCATCCTCCGGTCCTCTCCTCTCGGGCTTCCTCCACGGCGCCCTACCGGCTCCCCCCGCTTCTCACGTCCCCCGGCGTCCACCTCACCTCCACCTCCTCTTCCCTAGCCCCTCTGTAAACTTTCAATAAACCTCCTTCCCACTGAGCGTTGCGTTTGGGTCCATTCTGTCCAATCTCATAACAATGTGTTTGTTATTAGAACATCCCCAAAATACTGGTGACAGCTGGAGTAATAAATGTCACTGTATTTAAACTTAATATTCTCATAATGAAAACCGACAGCCTGGGAACATTTACTGTGTCTAGACGGTGACAAGCCTAATGCAGAGGATGTGTGACGGGCCAAACATGGGGCCAAATCCAGCTGTTACAGTCCAAAGAAGTGATTGAAGGAAAAAATTGTGCCAAATTGATGTTTTGACACTCTACAGCCAGGGTACAACCTGACATAATTGAGTCAAGTCAAGTGTCTTACTTGTGTCTGCTGATTGCTACGTGGTAATTGCACTTGATTCCTGCTCATTACATCTATCAGGATCAGAACAGAAACCTGGCAGGCAGGAAGGCGACGCAGGTGAGGAGATGTAACAGCTGAGGAATGTTTGGAGGTTCCATGCCAGTGATACAGATTCAAAAACTGATACTGAGCCTTTTCCAAATGCTAGCTAACACCCAGAGAGCAGTCGTTCTGTCCATTATATAAATCATATCCTATGTATTTTTACAATGAATCTGGGAACCTTTGGGAGCTGATTACAGGCCCCTTCCTGTATTTCTTAAACTCAATTTACTTGAATTTTACTAGAACAACAGGAGAGGAAAACAAATAAAGTGTTCACAGGACTATGTGTCTTCCTGTGTCAAGTAGGATTTGACCCTTTTTGGGGAAAATAACATTTACAGAAAATATAATTGGATATTTAACTGAATAAATTAAAAGTGAAAAATACAAATATTTAGACCTTTATGCAGGCTTTGTTTTTGCTTTGGTTTGTGTTGAGGGATATCATGACTTTGACCCCGAGCTTGTGATTTCAGTTTTATTTAACTTTAAATCAAACAGGCAATCTGATTTACAATTGATTAGATTCTCATTCAAACTTAATTATTCATTATTGTATTTTTATATGCTTAGATGTTCACAAAACCCCTGCATAATCAAACTCTCTGGTCATAATATTAAAAAAAAGGCTGACTGCTTGCAGGAAAGGGACATGAGCAAAGCTGCTGACGCTGTTAAAGTCTCCAAATTCCTTCCCAAGTTTTGCTATTGTCAGCAAAACTGCAATCATGTTCCACGTTATCTGACCAGGACTCTGACAATGCAGGTTTCCTTTTCCCAAATGTCATTCAGACAATTATGAGGCTTAATGTGGCTCCAGTCCATCCCCGCCCAGAGAGGCCTCCAGGAGGACCTTTTTTTAAGTCATGCCATCATCTGGGGTCAACCTTTTGTATTTGGTGTGGTTTCTTCCCCTTATCTTCTCGCCTCATCTTCTTAAATCACTTAAAATATTGCAGGCTGTTGAGTTGCAGCCAGTTTTGCACAAGTAATTTCTCAACTTTCTCAAAGCTTAAACATCCTCTGTGTCATCTACTTCTTTTCTTCTACACCTCCAAAGATAAAAAAAAGTGATTATTTAGCATGGAAATGTTTGCGAATCAGTTAAGATGAGGACAGTAAAGCACAAAGTAAAGACATTTTCCTGCATGAACATTTGTTTGACTGAACAAGAAGGGAAAGAGTTGTGCCCAGACTTGGGGAACAATGGAAAAATCCTGCTGGAGTATTTTGATAATGAATCAGTATCTGAAACTTTTCCTAATGATGTCATGGTGAGAGTGTGAACTTTGCTACTGAACTCTTTTTATTCTCTGCAGGGTCTGGCAGTGTAGGCTGTGATTCCCAAAAGAAGTTTGGTTATTCTAAGTTACTCTGAGCTCCTGTGTTTGTATAGCTTATTGTGATGCTGTAGGGGGGATCAGGTCAAAATTAAATACTAGACCCAAACACATTCATCCTCTGGCTTATCTATGGTAATTTAACAGGTACTTCAGGTGTATTTGTGTTTCACTTGGTGATGACAATATTTAGATTGTCGATCTAAATATTTACTTTTACAGGACGAGAGAATATCTATTCAGCAAAAGTTTGCATAGTGTTACAGTGAAAACCATGTATGTCCAAATTTAGAGATTTCAGATGAACTGAAAGAAAAAATTCTCCTATTTCTTTAGATAAATAAACCATTCTAAAAACATGTAATTTACTGAAAGATATATTATGATTATGATTATGATACACTGATTATGATTATGAAAAACGCTCTGAGATAACTGTTGTTTTGATTTGGTGCTATATAAATAAAATTGAATTGAATTGAAATAAATTAACAAAGCTGAAAACGGCTGTGTTTCTACACTCATGAAAAGTTTGGGAAATACATGGCCATAGTGTGTTGTTAGCAGTTAAAAAAAAAAAAAAAAAAAAAAGAGTAATTTTTACTTTAAAATTGTTAAGGATTTTTTGTGGGTTGAACTATCCAAGCTTTCAAGAGAAGACATTTGAGAAAAGTAAGCAGAATTTTGAAGGACAGATTGCCTCTAAAAAGATTTGAATATTGTGGAAAAGTGCATTGTTAGCACCA